GCCTCCAGCAGACCAGGGGCCCCGGAGCATCTTACGAACGGGGCTTTCTCGCCCCGGAGCTCACAGGCAGCAATCCGCCACCTTGACCTCCGGGGCGAGAAAGCCCCGTTCGTAAGTGCAGATGCGACATAAGTCGGATCCGCGTAAGTCGGGGACTGCCTGTATAGGCAATTTATGTGCAAGTTAAATTGATCCACTATAGGCAACATGGAAAAAGTCGATCTTAAAGAACTATTTAAATTTGGAAAAAGATAGGTCTTCTTTATCAGTTTATCAGAGACTCTGTATTGTCCATAGTGGGCTGTGTGGGAGAAGGCACAAAGGTGATTGTGTGAGAATCTGATGGACAGGTGAAAGAGATGGGGAGCACTGGCAGAGAGAAGGGGGGGGGGGCCAAAGAGGCAACATGAAGCTTGACAAGGAAGGATAAGAAGGGAGGGGAAGAGTTATGTAGAGCTTTGAATGTAATTACAAGAAACGTACATCTGATACTGAAGTGGCTCAGGAAGCCAGAGTTAAATCAGGGGTGGGCAAATTCCAGCATATGGGCCAGATCCAGTCCGCAGCGTTGGTCCCTGGCAGGCCCCCACCTCCATGTTTACTTGTGCCTCTGCAGGTATCAGAGGATCACAGCTCTCGTTGGCTGCAAATCCCCATTTGTGGCGAATGCGAGCAGCGGAAAGTGGTATGGTGGTCTGCAACACTTCCCTCCACTTGCATTGGCTGTGAATGGCGATTTGTGGTCAACCAAAGCTGTGACCCTCTGATACCTGCGGAGGTGCAGGTAAACATAGTGAGGGTGGCCCTCCAGGGACTAACCCTGCAGGCTGTCATTTTTTTTATTGCCTGCCCCTGAGTTAAATGATCAAACCAACAGAAAAGGAAGAAGGTTTATCAGTAGCAGCATTTTGTATGGACTGAAGGGCGCAATGAGTGACATAATCTGGCCTGGATGTTGGTCCATAGTTATTCTTGCCTAGGCAATTTAATAAACAATCAGTGATTTCTTTCTAATTGTTCCCTCTGTTGAGGAGATGTTACTGTCATGGAAGCTTCTCCTTCCCTATGTAGGTTTGTTCTTTCTGTTCAGCCTGAATCTATTGTATGTGTGTGAGCTAATCTAGACCTTTATCCCAAATATGGTATATTGAAATGATCCCCATCAAAGGAGCCTTATGTCAGAAAACGTAAGAGAAAACATTACACAAATGGGGTCACTCGTGGTTACAGTTTCAATCAGCAGTTTAAATAGTTTTCTGATATAAATACTATGTCCAGTTCATCTTCAGGTACTACATAATTCCTCTTTCTCCTTATATACTTCATATTCCCAAGTTAGTCAGTGCTTTCCTAAGTGAAGGAAATTTAACTTTCCCCATAACTCATTTCTTTCCCCCCCTCCCCCATTTTTTTTTTTAAGATTCCCTCCAATTTGTCAGTGTCTTACTGGGAATGTGGGGCATTCAAACCAGGTGTGGCCACACTAGAACTGCCCCCTCCCAATCCCTTCTTGATTTGGGATGCAAGTCCTCTTTCAGAGCAGGCTAACTTTCCTTGATGTTTTTTATTATCGTATTGTATTAAAGACTAATTAGCTCCCTCCCTCCATCTCCTTCATCTATTTCTTTTGTCCGGTTTTCTCCCTCAGATTGTTTTTCTGCAAATTTGTTAATTGTAGTTTTCCAATGTAAATCAAAATTTTACTTGCTACCTATGTAATCAGATCTTTAGTTTATGTACATTAGTACTTCAGATTTATGGACATCAGAGTTACAAACTCACCAGTCCATTACCGAGCTCATTTGCAATTGAAAGTGTGCAAAGCAAATACTATACAGTACCGTACAGTGTGAATGCATCTGTCCTCCCTGGAGCTGGACTCTGTGGATCCTGAATGACGATGGCTCTTCTCCATGTGTGTGTGTGCTGAAATCTCTTCCAATCCCTTTCTCTGTCTGGCCTCCCTGCTGCCCTTTGTTTGCACAGTAGCTTCTCCTGGTTTCCCGCTGTCTCTATAGGGCTTACAGCAGGACAGTGTGCTTTGTAGCTGGATCCAGAAGCCATGGTCAGTGTTAGCCCCCGGTCTCTCCACCCTGACTGGAGTGGAAGGCAGCCAGGATCTCAGCACAGATTGGAGACAGGCCTTTCAGAAGTCTGTTGTCCCTAAGCAAAACAGCCCTTCCCTTAGGCAGGCCTCAGTCGGCCCTGCCTCTGATGATCAGTCTGTGTTAAAAGAATTTGTTTGTTCTTCCTCCTGGGTGACAGACCTTCTTGCCTGAGCATGTTGGGGAGCTAACATAAACTGCACAGAGCAAGAAGTTTGCAAATTCCAAGTGTCTCAAGATTTTAATAATAAGGGAAAAGCACTAACTTTAAAAAAAAATTCTTCTACATGGCATAAAATGGGATGCAGTGAGGAGTGGTTCTGGGGGGAGAGAGCACAAGGAGAGGCTAATGGGAAATGAAGAGTTCAGAAGATCTTGTCAGTGAATTGTAGTGGAAAAGGCTCGATTTGGCTCTTGCATTTTCCTTTGTCCCCCCTGCTCTGCTGTCAAAAACTCCCTCCCACATAAGTACCCTGCCATTTACTAGGGAATTGTGGGGGAGATGGGTCTTTATGCTGTGACTCGGCCAACCCTCAGACTGTGGCTTTCACTCACTGTGCCTCTGAGTGTTCCTTACCAGAGAAAGAAACTCAGGCTGAATGCAACAAAGTGCACTGAAGTCCCAGCCTTTCCCAGGAGATTGGCTATTTCTCACCCATTCCCCTCATCTTTCCTAACCAACTTTTCACCACTAAGCCACATGACTACAGTTCACTGACCTCGATTGGGGATCTAACTAAGCAGCTTTGAGGAAAGAAAAGACAGCGTTCCAGGCAGGCTGTAACTTCCTGAAGAGAACTGAGCGCTGTTTTTAATTTCAGCCATTCCCCGGCTCTGTCACCTGTGTTCTTGTTCTCCAGTGCTTGGCAGTGTACAGGCTATTTTGCTTTGTCTCCAAAACCATATCTCTTCCTTCATTACTGCGAACTTTCCCATCTCCCCAAACTTCCCTAGAGCTTGAATCTTTATCAGTTGCCTTCATAGTGTCCCTTGCTTCTGTAAGTGTTGCCTAGGGCTTCCTGTTAGTTCAGTGAGTAGGAGAAGGTTGGATCTGGAAGACAGTGTTGTAGCATGTTCTGCCTTGTGCCACAGTAGCAGAGTAAGACAGCATTTTTTAACTAATCCAAAGGCTATATCATTCTGCTATTAAAAACTCCTTCAGTCACCCTCAGTTTTCATCGACCTCTGAGACCAATTGTGGTTGGGATGCTCTCCTCTCCCACCAGGCTCCTCACCCTATGGGTTCTCCCACTGTAGTTGCAAAAGGAATATAACCAATCTTTGTATCTTGTTTTCTACCAGGCTCTGTTTGCCAACCACCCACCACCCAGCTCCACCAGTATATCCATGCCAACTGAGTCTGGTGCCCGCAAGACATCAAGCACCACTTCCAACATCCAGAAGGCAGCCAGTTTGCACAAAGTGATGCCATCCCAGAGTACCTCCTCTCACCTGGTCCCCAAGCCTCCAGCCAACCACAAGCAGGCAGTGGTCAGAAAAGTGGCATCCCAGAGGATTTCCAAGTACGTTTTTTCCTTTGCCAGTGAAATCTGTGAGGAACACATTGACAGCAAGTGTCTTTCATATAGCTCCTTTGAGGCCTGTCTTTCTGAATTGAGACCTTGGAAGAGCTTGGTCTTGATACACTAGAGTAGTTGTACCCTAAAATGGAGCATTACCTCAGCCTGTAAGCAGGGCCATAGCTTCATACAAATATGGATACATAGGAGTTGCCTAAAAGGATCAGAGAAGTGGGTTACCAAGGCCTCTATCTTGTCTCTGACAATGGTGAGTGGCAGGTGTTTCCTAAGGGAGCAAGACCTGAGTAGCAAGATGTATTGGAGATGCATGAGCATAGCTGTGCGAGAGAAGCTGGTACATTTTCTGCCTGCATAATGCCTATCTTTAGATAGTGTACAACATCATCCCACAAAACTATCCATAATGGACTCATCAGCCTATAGGAGATGTTTCTTCCTAAACCTATCATCTAGTGGTTGGTTTGCACTGAAACACAGGGTTTGTATCCCATATACATTTTATATCCTGTCTAATGTAACCATGGATGTTCTCTTTTCCATATAAATGTCCAATGCTATTTGAACCCTACTAAGCCTTTGACCTTAGAGGTATCCTGTGGCAGAGAGTTCCACAAGTTAGTTATATGCTATGTAAAAACAAAAAAAAATTCTTTTAGCGATTTCAAGTTTGTTGCCTTTTAATTTCCTTGAACATCCCCTTGTTTCTGTGTTATGAGATGGTAAGCAGGATTAACTTTATCTGTAGCATTCACTGTTATATCTCTCTGTATCATGCTCCCTTTTACTTTTCTCTTTTGCAAACTGAAAGGTCTTCATCTTTACAATGTCTCCTCATACTGAAGTCTCTTCAGTCCCTTTTCTTACCCATTATTGGACTATTTTTAATCTCAGACCACTGATTCAGGAGTTCACAGTTCTGCAGCTTCCTGGAGATGTTTAATTCCTGCCAGATTCTCTGACTCCTCACATCCCCTTCTCTATTTAAGAAAGACACTTTAATAAAAAATAATCATTTTCTAACCCCCTCTGCAGAAATGCTGATATGCAGGATAGAGATGCATTGCCAATGCTGTGGTTGGGGAGTTGAGCGAGCAGGACTGGAGTAGCAAGATGTTTTGGACGTACATGGCAGAGATATGGTGTAGAAGCTGATATATTTCCTGCCTGCACAATGCTTGTCTTTAGATGGTACACTAAATTCATCCCCCAAAACTATTTAAAAAGAAAACAAGACATTAGTGGGGTTGGTTGACTCAGTGAGGGCGACTGTGTGCATGAGGTCTGGCAGGTTCATGCTGGTGAATTCACCATCCAATTCTTATTGTGTTGTGGTGGCTCATGTTAGTACAGGTGACAGGTTGTGTTAGTGGGTTCCTTTGCTGGGCAGCAGGGAGGTGTATTTGAAGATGCCAGTGCGCTGTGCTCACTTGTTGGCAGGGAGAATGTTTATCCTTGTGAGATGGAATTGCAGCTTCTTGGACAGACTTTACTTCGCTGCATTTTTGTGGTTTCTGCTCTGTGACAGGCAGGAGTGTGGGAAAACCGGAAAAAGCTCAGCACCAAAAATGCATAGAAGGGGGAAAAAAGCAAAAGAATCCTGCAAAATTTCAGAAACATAATCAAAGTATTGAAGTCTGCAAGAATCTGCTCTGGAAATACTTTCTGAGGTGCCTTTTGGACTCCAGGATGAAGCTCCAAACGCATCCTTGCCATTCATGGGATCTCACAATAATTGTTTTTTTTTACTTACATGGAAAGAAGTGAGTATTCTTCTAACATACTGGAAGCTGATCATTTCCAAATCACTGTCTCTCATACCTACGTATTATATATCCATCCAAATCAGAAAAAGGAATGGAGATACTATATTCAGAGCAGGGTAAATAGAAGAAACTCTTTCTCAAAGAATCACAAAGAATAGAGATGAAAAATGGGTCTTCCATGCTTCAATCCCTTCTTTCCATTCTCCAGCTACGCTGTACAGAGATTGTCTGTTTTTAAATAACTCCCAGAGGCAGGAATTCCGTCACTTCCCCTGGGAGACTACACCAAAATTTAATCAATCTTATTGCTAGGAAATTTCTTCTGATGTACACCCGAATTTCTCCTTTAGTTTATTTCATCCTGCAGCTCAATTTTACTCTTTCCTGAACAACCCACTCACTCCTAAATACAGTCTTTGACATCATTTAAATCCTCTCCCTCCACATCTTTGAGGTTCTTAATTATAATTATACTAACTGATGATTCTTTAAACTTTCCTCATATAGTAATCCCACCCACCTAGTCCTCAGTTGTCTCATATTACTTATTAGACCCTCTCCTGTTTGTCAGTATTATGCTTATCTTGAGGTGGAATTGTAATATTCCAAAAGTGTTTCTATCCAAAAATACTGGTTGAACCTCCCTGGTCTAGTTAGCATCCTCAGGACCTAACCAGTCCTGAATGAGGGAATTTTCCAGACTAGGGGAGGCCACCTGCCTCCCAGCTCGCCGTCTCTCCTTACTGCCAGCTCTTTCTGGCCCAGGTGCCAGCCCTGTTGGTGCCAGGCTCAGGCCCTGGCCCCACTGCTGCCAGCTTGCCCAGTGCTCCCTGGGATCAGAACTCCCTGGCCACTGCCCATCCTGCTGCCTCTGGCCCAGCCAGGGCTCCTCAGGGGCTGAGCTCCCTGGCTGCTGCTGGCCCCACTGCCGCCAGCCCCAGGGGGCTACCATTTGCGCTACAGGGCTCCTGGCTGCATGGCCCACCGTGCAATGCTATGGTGCTTCCAGGCACCGCGACGTCCCTCCTGCCCTCCCTCCCCCCGCCCACCACCACAGGGCTGCTAGCTCAGATGCTGGAATATCCATGGCCCATTGCTGGACCCGAGTGTCCCAGTTTAGGGAGGTAATCCTGTAGAACTGTCCCATCCCTAGACCATGACATGATAATGTGCCTCTTTACATAAAAAACAGTATATAATTTGCTTTTTGGGTGTGCTGCCATATGGGATTTCCAGCTCATCCCTAATTTGCTGTGCACCATCACCCCTATCTCAAGGAATATCCATGGCCCATTGCTGGACCCGAGTGTCCCAGTTTAGGGAGGTAATCCTGTAGAACTGTCCCATCCCTAGACCATGACATGATAATGTGCCTCTTTACATAAAAAACAGTATATAATTTGCTTTTTGGGTGTGCTGCCATATGGGATTTCCAGCTCATCCCTAATTTGCTGTGCACCATCACCCCTATCTCATTCTTGGCTACTTTCCAGGCTGCCTTTCCCCCAAGAGATCTCAACCTGGCCTATTTCTTTTACTGGACTATACTGATTTTCATTCACTGAGGCAAAGTCTGTTTTGATCATTCAAATCCAATGATTCTGATTCATTTTTCTAATTTCTCTAAGACCATTTTAATCTCTGTATCTACTGTTTTTAGCTTAATATAATCACATTTTGTTTTCAAAGATGTTTTTGAATTTCCTCCAGGGTGTGTAGACAGTTTTGTCTTCCTGAACCATCTCTTCCATGCAGGCATTATCATCTTACTCAGCCAGCACATATGGTGTCCAGAAGAGTAGGAGAAGCATATGAGAGAGAAACCTCAGCAACAAACAAGATAACGATTCTAAAGATGAACATTACTAACACTTCTATTAACTCAGGACCCAAAAGGAAAATGTAATGGAATAACCAGACAAGCAAGTCTTGTCTTTTCCATTCCTTTCCCTTTTGTTTTCTCAGTCTCCCAATTTGGGAAAGAGGAAGGTTGTCCTTGTGGATTGTATTTAAGGCAGACGCTTTACAAAGGTAATGGAGCAGAAAACTGAGATCTACATTAATATATGGAAAAAGACAATGGTACTGAAAGGAACTGTTTAAAGTACAGCTATGTTAGAAATGCGACTCCATAAAATGGTCTCATGAGTTCCATGTTTGTGTTCTCAATAATTTCCAGATTAAATGTGCTCAGGTTACAAATAGATAGCTTTTCTGAGTGCCAGCACCTCAAACTTGTCCTGAATTCCAGGAGTCAAGCTGGGTTCTTTCCACCCTGTACACACCATCATCACTAATGGTGATTCTGTAGGCCAAGATTATATCCTTTGTTGGGGTCACCCAGGTGTTACCAACGGCAGAATTTGGAGACAATGAGATCACACTGTCACTGAAGCTGCATTTAGAAACAGTGGGGTCAGGCAGATGTCACTGAGGGCAGCATTTGTTCTGCAGAACCTTCATTATAGATTATGATGTGCAAAGCAGACAGAAATCAGCTTGACTTTCAGAGCCTGAAGTGAATTGGCATGGTTAGTATGTAGGAAAAAAAATCTTTCCACTTGTAATCTCTGAACGTTTGGTTTGGAATGACTGAAATTCAATAAATATGAAATGCTACAATGCTATTTTTAACGATCGCTATTCAGAGAACTGTTTTTTTAAACCGGAATTATGACAGTACCAGGTAAAACAGAACTTTGAAAAGCTGGTGAGCAGAACCATCACTCAAAAAAGACAACACTGCAGACAAGGGAGAGGAAGCATCAAATGGAGAAAAGAAACCATACAATTATTGGTGCCAGCATGCAGAGAGCCTGGGGAGAACTGTGGATAGGTCTTTGGCCAGCTGTTGACTGACAAAACCTGATTATGTTGATCCGTGTAGCACAGTCTCTTGTGTTGAGCTTTTGTGTTAATATCATTTCCCAATATTCCCATTCAGTCACCTCTTCTGACTGAGTTTCCTGTAATCAGTGTGGCTCAGAAGGAATGAAGCTGATTAGTATGTCAAATTCCCATTCCCAAGAAAGAATCCTTCTGCACTATATGTTTACTTTATGTGGTAACAGCAATATCTGTGAAAGGGCCCAACAGTTCTGCACTGTCATAAATAACACAGGAACAGGGAGGAGATGATGTCTTTCTTCAGGCTTCTACAAATCCACCTCAGAATTGGGTGGAGACCTGACTGCAATCTGATATGGCTATAGCCAGCCGTCTGAGCAAGGGCTGGCCCACTCTGGCAGATATGCAGAAAGCAGAGGTGATGGCTGCATAGAAAGCTCTGCAAATCACTTCAGTTCTGGTTTGAACCCAATCCTTCTCAAGTTTATATATTCCTTGGCCGACATGGAGCGTCTCAAGTGTGCTGGGTGTATCTCACGCAAAAGCAGAGTGCCCACTGTGTAGAGGGCAGACAGCAACTGAGGAAGTATGCAGCTATTATTGGGACCCCTTTCACTTTCTGCTACTGCTACACAGAGGCATGCTTGTTGTTTTAGCTCCTGAGTGCCTGGGTTAATCAAGCAGCTTGACCCTTAGACATTTTTTGGCAGCTGTAGCAAAGCATCTGAGAGAAGTCCCTTGATTTAACATACTGACACAGCTGGGCTCACTAGGCCTGCAGCTCTTAGCCGCTGGCCAGCCTCACATCATACATACAGACACACATGCAGACACACCCTGTCCAAGAACAACAGAGGATCAAGCCTTACTGGCACTGGATCTTCACATCTGTGCTGTCCTCTGGTCAAACCTCAGTTCTTACATGATATGAATTTGTTGAGATCAGTTCTGTCCCCCTTACCTCATTAATCTGCCAGAAACAAGTTGTAACAATAAAGAGTCTTAACATTTGAACCTGTAACCTGTAGAAGAGCAGCTCCCTCCAAAGCTGCAATCTGCGCCGGAAAGCTTAGAAGAAAGTGGTGTTAGATCAAAGTGAAGGATGTCAGCTCCCTTTCTAATGCAGCCATCAGGCAAAGAGAGAACCAAGGCATTGAGGCGCATTTATGCAAAGGTGAGAATGAGGAAAGAGCAGTATTCAGGGACATTAATGAAAGAAATAACAAAGCTTAGTGAGAGATGGATTACTGGAGAGAAAAACCAAAGTTGACAGACACTGAGCCCTGGAAAATGGGAAAAAACAATAAAGTTGTAAGGCAATATAAGGATGGAGAAGAGAGGAATTGGAAGGAAAGATAATCAGCTCAGTTTGGGATGTATGAACTGGGCAAAAATGGTGATCTGGGAATTGTCTGCATAGAAATGATACTTGAAACTGCAGGATAAAATGAGAGAGAGAGAGAGAGAGAGAGAGAGAGAGTATATAGAAAGAGAAGATGGTGGGCACATGTATTGGATGCCGAGAGAGAGAGTTCTGTTTAAATGTACTTATCGGAAGAAGCATGATCCCACTGCCCTTGGTTCCCCATGTATCTTAGTGTCACACCTGCTGACTTTGTGACACAACATGTTTTTATCTGTTGGTTCTTCAAACTTTACAAAGCTACAATGTGTGAGCTGAATTCCACTCTGCCTCATGCAGCACCAACAGAATAAGCAGTTAAATTCCAAGTGCAGAATCTTCATGTTAAAGGCAGAAAGAATCCAGCTGGACACTCAAGTCCTGGCTGAAGTTTGCAGCATTGGCAATAAGAAACCATGAGCATGGTGGATCCAGAACTGTCTATGAAAATAAACGTGGAAACCAGCCTGTCATTTTACAATATCATTTCAGATTATGACTGAGCTAAGGTAAAGGTGGTTCCATGCAAATAATATATCAGACTCCTTTCCCCAGCACCCCAATTTATTCTATTTAACCCATCTGAAAAAAAACAACATAGGTGTCCCTGCCTGGCCAGAAAGCTGCCAGGAGCACCTGGCTTGCTGGCAACTTGCTGTTTGAAATCAGAAGACAAAAAGTATCAGTCAACACTTCAGAAGTTGCTCACATGTGCGTGAGTCTGTTAGTCATCAGCACATCACATGGGGATTCGAGACTAACTATTCTTATCACTGAGGAGCTGGGAATTATTCTGGATTTGTGCAACAGAGAGGAGTCAGTGAAGGAGGAGGAAGAATTGTGGCATGCACAAGAGTACTGAGCAGGGGAGTCTGGAGTAATCAGAATAGAAAATCAGGAGGGCCATGAAGTAGTCAGAAAGGATATAAGAACAGAGAGTCAGGAGGGGGAGTCAGGAAGGATCAGGTAGAGAGAAAGGAGCAGTGAGCAGGAAATCGATTAATTGATTTTCAGGCCAGAAGGGAGCATTATGATCATCTAGTTTGACCTAGAGTCCTCAGTGAATTGATCCATTTTCAAGCAGGAGAAAGTGCTAATCTCACTGGAAGTGATACTCCCTGATAAAGGAAGCACAACTGAAACTCACAAAACCCAAGGAGAATGTATTCTCTTTGTGCCCACAACATTTTGTGCCAACTGCAGATGGGCCTGCAAAGGTATCTGCTTTATGAGTGAGGGTTGGATTCTTCTTGTATGTGGATTTCAGATTACAGCTCATTAACTCTGTGAGCTTCTCTAGCTGGGGTAAAGCATGTGAGATCCTGAGTTTAGATTTGAACACAGCCCCCTCTGCTAGCTCCCTGTCCCTATGTGGTAGTTTTCTTCCCAATGGCTTAACGAAGATGACCCCTTTCTGCTTCAAAGCACTGAATAGTGAGGACCCCATGGTACTATTATCTGTGTTTTGTGACTTGGCAGCTTGGAAACAAATGCTTTTTCCTTCACTTCCCATTTATTTTTCTCAGAGCCAGGTACAAAGGCTCTTAGGACAAACAGCTGCTTGAGGCATATAGAAGGAATGCCTTTTCCAGGTACCTGTGGGCTCCCTTGCATCCTTTCTGCCTTTTTGGGGCTGCCTGCTCCCCATTTCTTTCCATGTGGAAAGAAGCAACAAGCAGCCCATGGGCCAGATGCTGTTTGCCCACCTTCATCACTGGTGGGCCACCAGATGCTTTGTTTACCTGCACATTTATGGGCACAGCTGCTCATAGCTCCCATTGGCCCCAGTTCACCATTCCCAGCCACTGGAAGCTACAGGAAGCAGCATGAGATGGGCCGCCACTTTCTGCAGTTTCCATTGGCCAGGATCAGCGACCACAGCCAATGGAAGCTGCAAGTGGCCATGTCTGTGGATGCATAGATAAACAAAGCATCTGGCAGCCCATCAGGGGCTAATTGTGATGAACCATGTCTGGCCCTCAGGCTGTTTATTGTCCACCTCAGTTCCATGTTCAGAAAGGTTTTGTGGCTTCTATCTGTGATCCCCAGTGGGGCTATATGACATAGTCTTTCCCAAGGCAATTAAATCTTTGCCCTGGCTTGGCCTTTCCATGCTGATCTCATTCTAATCCAGTGCTTTTGTCTGCCAGGGTAACCTCTACAGAAGGACAGCTAAATGGATTCAAGAACAGCCTTAACAGTGCAGCGTCCTGTGAGCCAGGTACAGAATCTAAAGGTGAGCTCAGGTCTCACAGACCAGGAGAGACAGGTAAAGTAATGGAATGATGGACGATGTTGATCTCTAGGATTGGCAGGGAAGGGGCCAACCCTCTGGCTAGAAAAAAAGATATAGCTGCTTACCTGAGTGCAGAGGTTTGCAAGAAGCAGCCATGGAGCCATTTGAGGATAGAGTTAATTCCTCCTGCGACACTGTGAGAGGGACAGACCAAGTCAGAGCTGGGGTTGAATCTGGCAAAGAAATGAAGTATACCTAGAAGTAGGGTTGAAGGGAAAGCTTGGCTGAAATGAGCCCTCTTTGCTTTTAACTTTAGTTGTGGGATGCTCTGCTCTTTCTGTTGGCCTTTAAAAGGCCAGGATATTATTTATTTTTATTTTCCTGTCTTTGCAATAAAGCCTCTCTCTCCAGAAAGGGTTACTCGAGGTATGTCTTATGGGTGTCTTCACTAATTTTCTTATTTCCCTGGCTCATGACTGCTTAATTCAAAGAGGTTTCTCTTGGACTCGTGTATGGGGAAAAAGAAACTAAACTTTTTCCACTGCTTCAAAAGTGTCTGCAGACTAGATAAGTTGTTGGTTTAGATGAACCAAAACTGTATGTGAAGTTACGGCCAGAGCTATGTATATTCTGTGATGTTTCAGCCAGGGAAGTTGCAGCAGAATTGAGCTCCAGAATCTAGGTTTAATTTTTAGATGATTGTATTTTTAGCCCTTATAGTGGCTGAGAGAACCATGAGAACATGTCCTTAGTGTTTCTGATGCAAGTGATTTCTGCTGGAGTCTGCACAGCCTGAAACAGTAGTTCAGAAAGACATGAATTGCCCTATTCATATCTAGTGGGTATTTAGCTTTGGAACTTAGGGATGACATTTCCAATACTAACATTAACAATTTAATTGCTGATCTTTTAGGAAAAAACATCCAGCTAACTAAATTCTTGTACAATTCCAAACTGCCTCCCACACGTTGCCACCTGCCAAAACCTCTAGCTTTCCTACCAGCAGTTTTTACAACAGCTAAAGGAAAAATCCACATCCCACTGAAACCTGATGGTGTGAGTGAGGAGAGTATAAAATAGGATTTCATATCAAAACAATTAACACAACGTCACTCTTTTAATGTATATGTAGTTACTACAAAATTTCTAATATGCACAATTCAGGCCCAGTTTGCTGCAGAATATTGAGGCTATGATATATGTAATGTCACTGATTAAAAGATCAGTTGTCAGGATCTGACCCACAAGTACTAATTTCAGCACTGGAGCACCCCCAGAAAAAATGTGGTAGGTGCTCAGCACCCACTAGCCTTAGCTCTTTGGGCAGCTGATGATCATCAGTTCTTCATGTGGCTGGGGAAGGCATTTGAGGGAGTGCAGAGAGCAGCGAGTGGTGGGCAGACAGGGTTTCAGGGGAGGGATTGGAGCAAGAGAGGAAAAGGGGTGGTGAAGGTGGGACTTCAAGGAAGTGTGGAGTGTGAGCGGGACCTTGGGGTGAAATGTGGAGGGAGGCGGTTCTCCTCGGGGACAAAGAAAACTCAGTGCCTGTGATCTGACCAAGTTAACTTATGTGGTCCTGTATGAACATGCCAGTCTGTTGAGCACTGTTTTCTTAGTTGTTCCCACCATTGCCATTCTACAGCCTTCAGCCTTGCAAGAAGCTAACACTTCTACCTGCAATGTATTCTCTTCCTCTGGTCACTGTTGGAAGTAGCTCCTTCTCTTGAACTTGTGTGTAACTACTGTAACTGCAGGCAACAACCCTTTCTATTCCTCCCTATTTCTCTGAGCATCTTCCAGGAATTAATGCAGAGCACCTGTGACAGAAATTGTCAATAAAGAAACAGTAGACAGCAACAATCCAGAACTGTAGCGGAAATGTATAAAACCCTTTGGGGATACAAAATTTATATCCACATCCGCAAAAATTAACCATGGATATCTGCATCAATATCTGAAGGTGTGGATACCCACAGATATAAAGCAGATACAAATTTGAGGGTAAGGTTCTAGTAACAAAAACTGTATCTGCTTCTGCATCCATAACTGCAAAAATGTGCTGCAGATATCCACATCTGTGGATATAAACAGATATCCATGGATTTACAGGGCTCTTGAAATGTGAGCTAGACAGTATGGATCCCTTGGAAACTAAAGTCCCCTTTAAAGGAGAGAAGTAATCATCAGTACTTGGCCTGTTCAAGGTGGAGTGAATACGTGAGGTAGAAATCTTGAGTCCTCTCCTTAGGATGTGTCTAGCTGACCCACATTGAACTTGCATCTCTGAATCTGAAATGAAGATTGTAGACCAAAGGCTGTTGTACAAGCTCAAGTGATAGAGCTCAGAGCTTGAATGAAGACTAATGGAAGCATGACTTGCCGGGTAAGCCACTTAAAGCCTTATTCTTGCCCCGGAAGAAAAGTGTAATAGCTCCAAGACTAGTGTGTGCTATTTCAGTGAGCAGAATAGCTGGAGAAAAGTGATTGATTTCTTGGAAATGTGAGGGGAAAATACTTTACCCAGTTCAACATTAGTCTTTCCTCTTCTAGGTGGCTGAGGAACTAAGCCATTTTTCTTCCTTTCCCTCTGCAACCCAATACCTTTTTTGTTCTGTAGCCCTTGTTTCTTTCATCAACAGGTTTGTTTGATTATCATTTCACTTATGAGTAGTGCTACATATGTGCCTGGCACTGACTAGAGAGTTTGGAGACATGGGCCTTTCCCTGAGGAGCATGCAGTCTAGGTCAGATACAACAGGTCATGACTTTGGGTAAAGGGGAAGGGAATTTGCTCTGAGGGTTTCATCCTAGAAGTAGAATGGATAATTAAGTTGGAAAGGCAAGAGATTAAATGAGGCCGTTCCACGCACAGCCGCAGGGACAGGCAAAGAAGGACTCAGGCAAAATATCCTCCCTTCTGCCCCTCAGCCTGGAAGTTCCACGTGCATTCTGAAGTGTCAGAAGGAGCATTCACTCTATGCTTGGTCCACTCAAACACAATTTACTAAATCCTATCTTGGAAACCTTCAGGGCAGTGAATTGGGAAGCAGCATGACCACATCCCCTGGTGCAAATGGGTTTGGAAGTGTATTAGTTGGGCAAACTCATGGAGCACCCTGGATTGGGCCTGCTGCCTGGTGAGCATGGATTTGACTGACTTTTCAGTTGGGAAAGGCTATCATAGAAGCAGTGGAGAGGTCCTTTTGCCCATTTGATTATATGGTAGTATCTGTGTAGGGATTAGAGCTTTATCTCCCCTCTTCTCTACTGCTTGGCTGTAGAGATTGCTCCTTCGATGAGTCTTGTCCTTTCTAATCTATAAACTGAGGTGAAGAGGCATACTTTTCTGAAGAAAGGCCAGCTAAACACAACCATACAGAGGGTGAAATTATGTCATTGTTGAAGTCAATGGAAAACCTCACACTGACATAATTGGTCCCAATATTTAAAACACAGACTCTAGCAACATTCACCTGTCATGCCAGTGTATACATCTGGGTATGTTTTAACTCATTGGTGCTGGATGGATCTGTAGTCATAGACAAATGGAAAAGCTATTTGGGTACCAGCTGCCACAGACATACCCACTGGGCTGTTGCTGCCTTTTGGTGGTTGTTTTAGCATAAGGGATAAGAGAATCAAGTAGTGGGGAAGCTGTGCAGAAGGGGGGAGGAACAGCCCCAAGTTAAGCCATCTTTTCCATTTTCCAGGTCCTTTGGAAGTTGGTTCCCAGCTTATATTCGCCAGATCCAAACCTTTTTCCAGCCGTTCCAGATCCACTGGCACAGTTGTAGGGCAGAGAAAGAGAAAGGCAGTGCAGGCAGGGCCAATTTAAGGTAACAGCCCATTCTTAACTCTGATAGCCTTGCTGTGGAGAGTAGACTTTGGGGCTCAGCAAAGAGAAGAAGAGTGAGGGAGGCAGGTAACCCAAGAAAAGGTGAGTCTGAGGATCTGTGGAAGTGAGAAACACAGGCGCTATAAAAGCCAGCAGCCAATCTGCTCAGATAAGAATCTACTTGCAGCTGTAAGAAAATACTAGTTATAGATACTGTGAGCCTGCCCTGAGCTCTTGATGGTAGATGTGAGAGTCACTTCTGCTGTGACACTACCCAGGGTTCTGATCCAAGCAACCAGTGCAGACTAGACATTTTAACCTCTAGTTCCTCTACCTCCCATAAAAACAGTCTGATCCATGGACAGACAAGCAGCTCTGTATGGACTATGCAGGGTTATTGATTATCACTGAGTGTGTCTTTTGGGGATGAGAAAAAGGACATTGATATCGAGGAATATCTAAATACATGAGATGCTAAGCATCTAAAGCTGCTAATAATCTATGGAGCTTAATGTTCGTTCTCCAAACAGGCAGTTTCCTGTTAAGGTCTCTGGGTATTTTACTTCAGCAGGGGTTTCCTGTACTACTAAGTGCTATAATTAGAATTACCTCCAAAAAAATCATCAAAATACTGTTTACCTGATTTTCACAGTGTTGCACATCCACAAATCCCCACTGATATTAAATGGAAATAGAGGTGTCCAGCTCCTCTGAAAATCAGACCACATGTAATCATTATTACATTGCTAGTTCCATTTGAGAAGACTCAAGTCTTGCTATATGAACAAGGTTTAGATCGAGGTGGGCAATAATTTTTTGAAATTATTTTTGAAGTGGCCCCAGGTTGCTCCAGGATGCTTCTGGGCTTCCTCACTGCAGACCATGATTGGTCTGTGGGTGGGAAGCCCCTTTGCTCCCCCTTCCCACTAAACACCCATGCCCCTGGCAGTGGGAGGAGACTTCCTGTGCTTCCCCGCCTCCAGGCCAGTCAGGATTTGGGGCAGGGAAGCACACGAAGCCTCCTCGCACCCTGCCAGGAGCACGCAGCACTTCTAAGTGCCACATGCTCCTCGCAGGGCAGGGGAAGGTCAGAGGAAGCTTTGGGCACTCCTTCTTCCCTGATAGGCCTGGGGGCAGAGGAGCGCGCAAAATCTCCTCCTGCCCTGCCAGGAGCGTGCAGCTTTTCAAAGCGCCGCATGCTCCTGTCAGGGCAGAGGAAACTTTGTGCGCTTCCACCCACCCTCACGCCCTAATTAGCCTGCGGGCCTCTGTGGGTCAGATCAACCTGCTTGGTGGGCCAGATCTGGCTGCAGAGGCCTAATTGCCCACCCCGGTTTAGATTCTCCCTGCCTTAGACTGAGGATCCCTAGAGAGAACTGTTCCTTTGCTACTTTCTCCATAATAGAATTTAACAACACAGTGTATGCTGGCAAAGTAATCAGCCAGGGGATTAAGAAGAGCAATCCCACCCTCCTGAGGTTGCCTGGTTGTTGCTTGCTGAGTGAATGGCCTATGCTGAGGTTTATGGTGGTGCTGTTGAGTTCCAGGAATTGCCTTTGTGGCACAGTGACCAAGATGGCTGCATCCAGAAGATGAAGCTACAAAGCTATAGGCTGGTCAGTTCCTTACTCTATTTGAGCCAGTCACCTTTGAGGGCCTCATTCAGTAAATGTTTCCATTAAAGAAACTAACAACATCAGGTACATGGGGCATACTCTTTGCCATATCGTAATGTTTTACTTTTCCACTCCTTTGTAGAGAGACAGTACTTGAAATTATAAATTGTTCTGTACCTGTCTTCAGAAAAAGACGTTTCCCTAGTGTAAAAACTATCTCTTTTCCCCTCTGGAATTTTTAGAATCTGGACACAGATAAAAAGGCAGGTAGCACTGCAGCATGGAGGAAGGTCTCCAGATTACTACAAAATTACACAGTTCTTTATTTATTATTCATCCATTCCGATAGTGGCAATACAATAGAGAAATCCCAGGGAGAAGCAGAGAGGGTGATGGGTACTGTTATAAGATTAGATTAGCAGTTCCTGGCCATCTTTGTTGATAGCCCCCAGGGGATCCTTGGCTACACTTACAGTCAATGCAGTGAGACCAGCTGAATTTGTGCAAATCCTTCAGCATGGGCAGCTGGGATCAGGACTCACTCGGGTTTCCACAGTGTGTGTTCCTGATTCCTCTTCTCCATACCACTAATCCTGTTAATTCCACTTTTTATTGCCACCCTTCTGGCTCTCTCTCTTGTTTCTGTGACTGACTGCACATATGGTATTGACTTTGAAAAGTAGCTTCAAATGGGCACCTCGCGTGACCTCTGCCTCAGATTGACCCAGCTGTTTAGGGTGTGAAATACCTCATGGGACCAGCAAACTGCTTCTGATGACACCTTACCACTAACTGTAGCACAAGAATATAGTAATGCAAACACATCCCCATAAATCCTTTCAGAATAGGCCAGCTATCTAAGAAACTCACTGGGTTGCTTAAAGGGAGCAGTGGTTAGAACCCCAGCATCTTTCACAGAGACATATACTTCCTCAGCAGAACCCCTTCCCCCACATGCCTGTGCACAGCCTGTGCCACCAATGGTTTTGACTTTCTGTGAGCACCTCTTTCTGCCCTTTCTAGAGTGCTGCCAAAAGGGGATTAACAGGAAATGTGATCTACCCTGTGTCATAGGAATTTTGAAAGAAGCAGGGCTTGATGTGGTAAAGGGAGGTTTATCTCACTGTTACATTTCCCTTTTTGAGAAGATGGAGGACTGCAGTGATGGCAAGTATTTGGTTTCACATTTGTTCCAAGAAATCTCCTCCTAAAACCATTGTCCTTTGAAGCATTCTACTAGTATCCATAGCCCCCTCCTGCCCCTCGGTCCCCTTCCTATAATCTCAGGGCCATAGAGCAGCAGCTGACTCCCAAAGGCATGAAAAGATGACAGATGGAAAGCCAGACTCACTGTTGATCCTACTACAGTAGTTGTGGGATTACTGGCCCAGAGCAGTGCAGAGTCTTAGCCCCTAATACCAGTACAGAGGAATTAGAAGTGGCTGAGGTGGTAGTATATAACACTTTTTGTCTTGGTCTATTTCATTTAACAAAGGAGGGCAGAGTGACTCTGACTGTTAGTGAACAGACATCAGAGGCCTTAACGGGTACATTACAATAGTTTCACAATTAACTTGGAGCTACAAAATTTACAGTAGTGAATGATTACAATTGTTTCTGTGTTTATCCACCTATTAGATTCATATGGGGAATTCTCATTAATGCCAACAGAGTCCAAGGTGTTGTCAAACTCAGCCATCACCTCAGTTAGATCTGAGAGGCTGTGTTCATTTCTAATGAACAAAAAATACAATTATTCCTAAACATATGAGGATGGTCTGTCTTTTGCACCTCTCCTGCCTATGTTTTATGAGAGGAAGAAGCTGTTTCCTGTTATCTGTTAGTTGAATGCTAATGAGAGGCCAGTCCAAGCCAGGAGGGCATTTCAGGTCTGCTGAAAAGAAACTTGGGGCTGGAGACACACAAAAGGGAGGAGGGGTTGGTCTTTTAAATAAGGTCTAATGTTTAAAGCTGACTTAGAACCTAGCCTGAAGTGTAGGAGCCTAGAAGAAAGCTTATCACTGGGAGTCTTGGTTGAGCCTTTAGAATAAGAATGGTAGATACTTCGATACAGAGAACTGGCAAAACTCAGCCAGCTGCAGGGCAGCCTTTCACTCAGGATCTCACCTTTTTGAAAATGCCATTCAGGATCAATCCTGCAAAGATTTGGAGAATTCATGTGATCCTCTGGTTTTTCTTTGAGGAATATCCATGTGATTAACAGGTGAATCTGCACCTGTGTGCAGGGGCATCAGAACAGGAAAAATCAGGGGTTTAGGGCCTATCATTTTTAAAAGTGGGAGGGCAATGGGGGGTGGCGGGAGGGGAGGGAAGGGACTGGAGAGGAACAAGCAAGGGATGATGTCATGGGTGGAAAGAGATGGTATGGGACCAGGGATGAGGAGGAGGAGAGGGGCCTCAGGGATTAGGCAGCACAAGGACAGGGACTTGGAGAAAGAGCATTGGAGGGAAGGGAGGTAGGGCCTTGGGTGAAACATTGGCATGGATGGTGAAGTCACAGTTTGGGCACCCATGTTCTACCCATTTTTAGGGAGATCCCACATAGGGATGAAAAATCCTGTTTGTTTAGTTAACCAGTTAAACGTTAAGTTTAGCCAGCGAACTGATTTATCAGCGGTGGTCTCCCGGCTCTGTGTGGGACTGCCGGCTCCTAGCTCTGCTTTGGCTAGGAGCTGGTAGCATCACATGGGGGTCTTGTGGGGCTGGAGCAGCCCTGCACGCATGGTAATGGTTAATTGGTTACCCATTGCCATCCCTAATTACCATCCTAATTCCTCTGCTTCTGCCCCTGCGCTTGTAATTGGCGATTTTTTAGTAGCAGTAAATGGGGGGGGGTGCACTTTCCCCATCTCTCACTGCTTCTGACAGTTGTGTAGCATTTTGTGTCCAACCCCCCCACCCTCCAATCACTCCTGTTCCTTCTCTGTTCCCCTCAGCTTGAGACAGAGGAGTTGGCTGCATCTCTGAGCTTAATCTTTAGTTTAGTTCTAACTTTAGGGTATGAGTTCATAACCCAGTTAGTTCACAGTTAACTACCCTCTTTCTTCCCTCATTTATTTTTCTTTTCTTAAAAAAAATTCATGTTATGAGTTTAACTTTCAGTTATTAATATGCCCCTTAGCATATCATTGTAACCCTCCTTCCTAAGAGAAACCCTCTTCTAAGCAGCAAGGCTGTTCCCTATGGCTTAAACATTGCTTTGCTTGCCAGTTGTCAGTCACAGTCTCAGACAGGCATTCACAGTGTGTCCGCTGCGTTGGCAAGGCATGCATTCCACAAAAGTGCTCCCATGCCACAATTTTGAAGCCCAAGACAGGGACGTGAGACCTACAGCTAAAACTCATCATGATAGATAAGTCTCTGT